TTTAACCATTCCTCTAAACAACAGCCACTGGGCTGTTTCTAAAATTTTCCCTCTTTATATGCAAAAAGGAACTACTTTGTACATACAGCTACATGTTGAGTCTTTTAGAGGGCATGTTTTAAGAAATGGAAACACAGCATAAAAAACATTTCAATGTTGAAAAAAAAAAAAAAAAACGCCCTCCCAAAAAGTCTTTTCCAATTATACTTCCACCCATTTCTCCACATTCTCACAAATACTGAATTTTCAGACTATCTTGAAATTCTGCTCCTTGAAAAGGCTAAGAATATCTCTGGTTGTATACATAGTATATTCACACCAATTTGTGTCTTCATACATGTACTTTAGATAGTAATGATTCATCACATTCCACCATCATTTTTGTGCTCTATATATGTAATAAGAATTGTAATGCATTCTGCTGTCATATGTAAGTAAAAAAAATTTACAAAAAAAAGAGAAAAGGCTGGGGCTGGGGTTATGGCTCCACAATAGAGCACTCGCCTCGCACATGCAAGGTCTTGGGTTCGATCCTCAGCACTACATAAAAATAAATAAATAAAAGTTATTGTGTACAACTACAAAAAAAAATAAATATAAAAAAAAGGCTAAGAATACTTTCCAGTATATCAGATATGTTTATTTCTTCTTTTATGAATGAATTATCACCTAATTTGGGGGTTATACAACTTTAGGAGCTCTTTCTMTATTATGAAAAGTAAGATGGCCTATTATAGGTATTTTAAAATACTTTTCCCACTTCTTTACTTTAATGCCTGTCTATTATTTTACTGCACAGAAGTTAATAACTTAAATACAGTTAAATCTACCAATCTTTCTCTTTATGGTATTCTGCCTTATTCTATCTTGGAAAGGAAAACATTTTTAATTTTAAGTTTCCATTTTACATTTAGATCTTTATCTGAAATACATTTCTGATAATGAAATGAATAGAAATCTTTTTTTTCCTTCAAAAATCCAATAATCTCAACAACTTATAGAGAAATCTCTTTCCCCACTAGTTTGAAAGGCCTATTTTATCATATGATAAACACACACACACAGAATCACCACAAATACATATTAGTTTCTGGAATTTTCTKTTCTGTTCACTTATCCATCTTCTCTTTTTCATTCCTTTTTTTTTTACACTGTGATATAAAACCACCCATAGAAAAGCAGATAAAAGACAGAGATTTAATTAATACAAAGGAAATACCCATGTAATCATCACCCAAGATAAGAAACAGAATACTGACAAAACTGAAGTCCTCCAAGTACCCTTCCAAACCCCCTACCTTTCCTACTGAGGTAGCTGCCACTATGACTTCTGTTATTACCATTCTCTTGGTTTCTGGTATTATTTTAAGCCTGACTAAAAAAACTAGTTTGTTTTATAAAAATGGATTCGTATAATACATATTATTTCAGCTTTTTCTTCTTTTGATCAATATTGTTTTTAAGATTTGYTTTGAATCCACATTCATTTTCTTCATTGACATACAGTTTATTAATATAGATTCTTTTCTTTCACAATTATCTTGTACCTTTCTTGTAAGATCTATTCTGAACTTTGAAATGGGGGTTACTATTTATTTCCACTTCATTTTCTAGCCAATTATTCATTTTTAAATGTTGATCTTCTACCCAACTACTTTATTGAATTCATTAATATAGTTGTCTGCTGTTTCATTAGAGTATCTAGATGGCAATCATATTATCAGTAAATAATGTATGTTTTCTCTTCTTTTCCAATGTTTATGTTTCCAATTTTTCCTTTTAATTTCCTTGACTAGGACCTGGCAAAACATTTAATGATGCCAGTGATAATAAACACCCATGACTTATTCCTGACTTTAATGTTTCCAATTTTTCATCATTATGTATAATGCCTTTGGTAGATAGCTGTGTGCGTGTGTTTGTAACACTGTATTAGCTTAAGAGCTTTGTCTTCTACCTTTTGAATCGAAGAATTTTTAAAAACAAAGATTAGTGTTAAATTTACTAAATTTTTAGATTGTACTGAGGTGATTTTTATAAAGTTTTCTCCTCTAATTTGCTAATGCAGTAAAATTCTAATAATCAAGTTTTCTACTATTGATCCATTCTTGTATTTCTGAAATGAGTCCTACTTTATAATCATTATTCTCTGGATAATTTGCTTGATTTTAGTTGTCATTTTTAATTCTTTTTTAGGATTTTTTAATGCGTGCTCAGAAGTATAACAGACTTATGATTTTCTTTTCTTTTTATTCTGTTAACTACCCAATTTTGTGATCAAGGTTAAGTCATTAGATTAATGCATTAGATTAGATTAATGCATAATCCATTTTTCCAAAAATTTAAAATATAATTTTCTACATACCAAATAAGATAAAAAYTATTTATAAAAAAATTTAAGTTATATACGTCCATCTCACATTTCTCAGCTATAGAATAAATGATATTCTAGAAGAATACTGTATATATTTTTTGTCTGTGTTGGGTTTCAGTACAAAGGAAAGCAGATGCTATTCATATATATTTTTATGCTATTCATATGTATATTTTTAGTTTTAAATAAATATTTATTTTTATATGTGGTGCTGAGAATTGAACACAGTGTTTAAACACATGCTAGGCAAGTTCTCTACTATTGCACTTGACCCCAGCACCCAGATGCTACTTTAAAAAATTACTTTGTATAAAAAATTCTTCATGGTCATTTATATTATTATTCAAACAATTCAGCATTTGATTAAATCATGCAGTAACAACTCTGTTTCAATAGCAGCTACATTTTAGCAAATGTCAATGTTATGAAAAAGTAATTTTAAACACTATTCATTGTTTGAGTTTTCTAAATTTTGTAGAATGACCAACATAGGTAGGCACTAAAAATCTGAAAAGCAATTCAGACCCTTACAAAATAAAAATGACACCTATACATTAAAAATTAATAAGGTTGGGCTGGGGATGTAGCTCAAGTGGTAGCACGCTYGCCTGGCATGTGTGGGGCACTAGATTCGATCCTCAGCACCACATAAAAATAAAACAAAGATGTTGTGTCCACTGAAAACTAAAAAATAAATATTAAAAAATTTTCTCTCTTTAAAAAAATTAATAAGGTTAATTTTGAAACTATAGCTGTTAAATTATATTGCTCACAATATATAAAGAATAACTAGAGCCAGGTGTGGTGACGTATACCTGTAATCCTGGCAGCATGGGAGGCTAAGGCAGCCTCCTGCCTTAGGATCACAAATTTGAAGCCAGCCTCAGCAACTTAGTGAGGCTCTAAGCAAGTTAGCGAGACCTGGTCTCAAAATAAAAAATAAAAAGGGCTGGGGACTGTGGGAAGCCATTTTAACACGTGATTGGGTGACTCCCGTTAAGGGCCTGAGGCACTTTGGCTCTGTCGAAGCTTTCCYGGCCCTTTCCTGATGAGAGAGCCCATCCGTGTGGGGGTGTGCCTGACCACTGACCCCGGGGACCCAATCACTGACCCTGACCTTGGAGTGCAGCCCCCCCCAACCTTCATTGGATGGAATTCTCCCCTGAATCTCTTGTTCCCCAATAAAAGGCTACTCCCCGGCGTGTTCACTCTCTCTCTCTCCTGCTAGCCCTGAGTAATCCTTGCTGCCCTGCTGGGCGGTTAGAGGTGGGAACCAGAGAGGTGAGCCGTCTCGGACCTAGCAATATAAATAAGGTAACTGAGTCTGTGTGTTTTATTTCGATCTCTTCTAACTAACTTTATGCCTAGAACCTCATTAATGAAACCATTGCGCAGGCCGCGTGGTAGAATGGGGACGTGACTCAGTGGTAAAGCACCCTGCAATTCCTTATATGAAAAAACTAAACAAAATCCTACAAAGGCACAAAAGTTCACTCGTAGTGAAAAAAATTCAAAAAGATATTTAAAGTTTCTGTTCAAAAGGAAAGCATGATAGATAATGTAAATGGTACATAGTGCATCTTCTACATTTGTGGGTTCCATATCTGCACATTTATAGATCCAAAATATTTTTTTCAATGTATTTATACTGAACATGTCCAGACTGTTTTTTCTTGTTATTTTCCCTAAACAATACAGTATACAACTATTTACATCAGCACTTGCATTGTATTAGGTATTATAAGTAATATAGAAATAATTAAAAATACATGGAAGAATGTATAGATGTTATAAACTAACACTATGTCATTTTACATTCAAGAAGGACTTAAACATGTGTGGATTTGGGTATTTGC